ACAAGTAATGCATTAGCTTGGATATTGCAAAGTATGTGCACATATAATCCCAAATGTAATAATTGTTTGAAACACACAGTGAAGCTCAGATTTTTCAATAATAAGTAACTCTGGTATCCAAGTTTGTGTTTGTAACAAAATCTGTTGCAGAATTGAAAAAAAAGCTAATTAATTTCTGCTTTAACTTCTGGAAGACATGCACCAAAGAAAAGCAGGGGGAGTGGGGAAGATAAATGCAAAAAAAGAAACAAGACCTCCCTTTTTTCAGAGCGACAAGTTATTACAGTTAAAGCCATCTTGTGAAACCAAAGGACAAACATTTGCCAAGTAACTGCTGTTTACAAAAGATAAATGAGATTCATTTTGTATTTGGACTTCAGTGTAGAATAACCCAGTAAGCACTACAGTATTAGTGATTCGCCCCTGTAACACGAACTGCTTCTTCTTTAGAACAGGGAATCAGAGCAGATTGACACTGTACTCTTCTTATCTGTCAAGTTTCTCGGTTTTTCCTGATCTTCCACGTTTGTTGAGAAACTGCTGAGTTGAGCAATTTCTCCAGTTGCACAAGATGCCAGTTCTTGGCTGTGCCTGCAAACCATTCTCACCTGAACAGAGACTGGTAAATCCACAGCTCCCAGAGGAGCTCCAGCCTTTTGCTCAGTTCCACCCTAGTGCCAGATCACTGACTCCAGCAAGACTGTACTTTCCATTCCATTTACTATCCTTCAAAAGGCATTTGATACAGATCAGACCATGATCCATACAAAATTAAAAGCTGAGCCTAGTTTGTGCTGAAGCTTTTAGTATCTCTGTCCTGCTTCTGTGATTCTTAAATAGTTCTTCACCCTCTAGGACTAGACAAAATAGAACAGGAGAAGGTGAAACCAAGGAATATCAGCTGAAAATGGAACTTGGCAAGAAGTTTAGAAGGGCAGCAAAAGGCACCACTATCTCATGAAAGCTCATTTTCTGACCTACACATTGAACTCCACTTGATAGCCCAGCTGGAGTTACACTTCATTAAATTACTGCTACTCTGTCTGTAAACTCCAAATTGGACGATTACCATTCTTTGATTAATCCAGAATAAGAAAAATGAATACTGCACACACACAGAGTTTTTTTACTTTCATTTTGTCAGACTTGACAGACAAGCTTTTTGCTCAGGTCCTTAACTCCCTTGACTCTCTCACAGGTCATAGAAAAGCATTTTCTTATGCAAAGTTTACTGAGGTTCTGTAACATTTATGCAAGAGAATACAGCAGAGCTATACAGCGAGTACACCTGAAAGCGAGAAGTGTACTTTGACTCTCAACAACCACTCACTGTAGACGTGGACAATGAAACTCATAACCCAGAACACTCTTTGAGCAACACTGATTAATACAAACCTTTGCAAATTCAAAAGCTATTACATTACCATTGACCTTGCTGAGTGAAATCCTTTTAAAATTCATTGTTTATACCACCACCAGCTACTTATACCCAGAAGTACTAGTCTGTTACAGCACTTGACTAAAAATAAGAAACATAATCACCTTTTAAAGCAGTTTATCTAACATTTACACTCAGCTCTAACAGCATGCCCCTGCTCCCCACCTAGCACTATTCAGTGATTTTGGTCAAGCACAGTTTTTAGGAAAAGTAATTTCTATGCTGCATCTCTGCCTCCAGAAATGAGTTCCCCATGCCAGGTCAGGTATGACTACACAGCTTCACACTGTGATGGGAAGAGTCTGCCTGAACACCAGAGAAGCAAGATGCAGAGCTTTCTGTAGCTTAATGCTTTGAACCATGGACAATAAAACCTGAGCAAGTACAGCTGAGAACCAACTGCAGTACTGGTTATCCCCTGTTGTACTATGATTGTTCCCTTTCTAAAAAAAATACCAACCCAAAACATGAACAGAATAGTACGTGCATGCAGCTCCAGTCAGGGATCCACAGGTACACAAGCTTTTTGTACAGTTTTGCTCTTGTAAAAAACCATTGCATCGTTTTTTTTAATGTAGGAATCCATACACCACGTGCACTACAGCATAAAACTAGAAACAAGATCTATTATTTTTGGAGTAAGTTGTGTTTTCTTTAGCTAAGCCAAGACAAATGCAAAGTAAATACAGTAGCTATGCTGACATTTTTTAACTGTTATTTGATCTATTTTAAATAAAGTTGATAGTCAAGGCAACTATGGTTTTAGAACATTTACTTTAGTACCTATTTACTGCACAATGATGTTGATGTGTCCTTCAGTTTATAAGCCTTTTGTAAACCAAACCAAACAAACCACTTCCAAAAAACCCCAATGTGCTGTTAGAGCATCACTTCATCACTTGGGCACCTTGAATTTTTTGTTTTTTGTCTTTTCACAGTTCTCTTTCCAAGGCAGTGCAGTTGGAGAAACTAAATCTGAGCACTCTGACTGACACAGGGCCAGTAAATAATCAGTGCCACCAGCTGTGTATCAATCATTAGATCTTTTCATCTGAACAACTGAGCTTCTGTCAACCAACTCCAGAAAAACTACCTTTTTAAAAGGCTTCACAATAATAAGAAACAAACTGAGCTTTTTTTCCTAAGCTCAACCTTGTACATTGTGGAATTTCAGCAGCGTCCAGGGGAAGTGCCAACTCAACATCCATTTGAAGAGGAATTATCAGTGAGAGCTCTCGGTGACCTACCCCGAAAGAGAAGTGAGAGACAACACAGAGATATGACCATGATCACAGAACTCATATGTAACTCCCCAAATTGCAGAAATCATATCATCACAACCATGTCCAGAAAAAAGCAGCTCATGTTAAAAAAACATAAATCACATCCCACCCACGAGTGGAATTTTCTAAGAGGTTTGGTCTAAATCAAGAAAATGGGTAACACTGGGATCAAGATTTATATTACAACAGAAAGCTAAATAGATGTTTATGTTATTTATTTGAGTTTCCAGCACTCAATTTTTAATTTGTTCTTCTGAAGAAATAGAAATTTCCCATGCTCAGGAGCTTGCATGCCATGCCAAAAAGTTCGTGACCACGAAAAAAACTTTCCATTTATACCACAGCTTCTCTCACAGGTTTTTTATATCTTTTATAAACACAAGTGAATTGCATATGAGCAGCAAAATAAGCAGGGAAATGCTTTTATTTCTTAGAAGAATTCAGAGGTGAATTTGTTAACATGGTGCAGGGACACCACAACAAAACTGAAAAGTTCTCCTGACTGCCTGCAATATGTTGTATTACTCACGTAATTATTTCTGAAACAACGGATTACTTAAATTAAGCTGGTGGGTAATTATCCTTGCCCTCTGAGTGAAATACCCTGCTAATATCCTATGGAGCCATAAAGCAGCTCAGTAACATTTCACAGTAACACAGCTGTTGGGCAATGGGTGTACCAAGCACCTCACAAGAACTGAGCTCTCTCAGCTCCCCTACCTCTGATCCACACAAGTGTAAATATCTTGTAACCTGAAATAGCATCAGCTGCCACCAGCAAAGACAAGAATCTTCATGTCCAGCTGCCTTATTGAAGTGAATCATATCTATATTAATTCTACACTAACCTTCCTCCCAAACATGACACTACTCTGTTTCCTCAACTCCTCACCTGCCAGGGTTTATCTAGCAGAAAACACGCTCAGTTGGGATCTATTTTAAAGGCTCTTTTCTTCTCCCACCCAAATATCCCCAGTCTTTCAAAATATGGTTTTATTTTTATCCAGATTCCAATGAGATGCGACAGCCACAATTAATTTAAAAAAAGAAAAAAGTCTCCTTTCTCTTGAGAGTTCTCAGTTGCCAATATTTTTAGTTTTGTACCTAAGAACACATGCGAACAAGCACCAATTGGCCGCAGTCTGCATTCTGCTACGCAAGACAAGGGCAGAGCACCAAGCTGGTCCAGGAGCTCACATATCCCAAAAGCAGCTTCCAACCTCAGGTTACAGAACTGCTGAAGGGTTTATGGAGAAATCTTGCAGGGCTCAAGATCTTTGCCTTTAACTACTGCTGTGGACAAATTCCCTGTATTTAGGGTCACCTCTCTAGTGAAATCTGCTGGAATCTACACCACAGACATGGTGATGCAAGGAACCACCTGGATGTGAGAACTGCTGCAGCGCAAATTAACGTGTCACTGATGTCGCACGGCAGCTCCCAGCGAACGCACCGCGCTGCTGCGCAGAGCCCGTCCCGGCAGGGGCACGGCGGGCAGGCCGGGCAGTGCCGAGCGTCACCCGGGCCAGAGCTGCGGGGCCTGGCACGGGCTGGGCAGGGCCAGGCTCGGGGTCCCCGGGCTCCCAGCCCGCTCTACGGGCACAGTGCACGGTGAGAGCCGGGACAGCGGCAAGGCAGCTGAGCACGGACGCGCAGGAGCCGCTCTCCAGCACGAGGAGCGGCGAGCGAGGGCTCGGCCGTGCGCTCCAGCGTTACCCAGAGCGCGAAGCGGGGCCACCGACAGCTCGGGGGGCTCGGGGCACAGCCCCGCGGCCGGACCGGACCCGGAGCCGGGCGGTGCAGCCGCATGGGCTCGGGACGGACGGGAGCGCGGGCAGGGCGGCGGGAGAGGCCGCTCGCTGCTCTCGGCCCGGCCCCGCTCCCTGCGGCCCGACGCCGCCCTCGCTGCCCCGCCGGACCCACCCGCGGCCGAGCGCAGCCCCGCGCCCCGGCGGCGGCCCCGGCCGGGGAGCCCCGCCAGCGGCCCCGCCCGCTCCTTACCCCGCCGTCATCACCACGTTGTAGATAACGAGGTAGCCCGTGGCCAGCGCGCCCGGGCCCTTCCTGCGCCGCGCCTGCTGCCCGCCGTAGCCGTTGTCCGCCCGGCTCCCGCCGCTGCCGGCCGCCGCCATCTCGCGGCTCCCGCGCCCCGCCCGCTGCCGGCGCTCGGCGGGCGCGGGGCGGGACTTCCCGCGGGCCGGCGGGGGCGGTCTGCGCAGCCGCGGCACCGCCCGCGCCCCGCGCCCCGCCGGGGCCGGGGTCCGGCTGGCGATCCGCGGCCTGAGCCCTCGCCTGCCAAGGCTCGTCCAAAGCGCCCCTCGGCAGGGAGAAATAGGCGGGCCGTGGCCTTAGAGACGCTAACAGCGTCAGTTGGTACGCTGTTAACGCCTCTACGCTACATTTAGGGAATATCCCGTAGGTTTTAATCACTTTTATAATATAGTTCAGAGGAGAGAAGACTGAGAGGCGATCTCCATTAATGCACATAAATGTCTTAAAGGCGGGTGTCGAGGATGGCGCCAGACCTTTCGGTGGTGCCCAGCCACAGGACAGGGAGCAATGGCCATAAAGTAGCGCAAGAAGTTTCACCCAGCGTGAGGAAGAGCTTCTTTACACTGAGGGTGGCAGAGCACTGAACAGGCTGCCCAGAGGAGTCCTGGGCTCTCCCTCTCTGGGGACATTCCAAACCCACCTAGACACGTTCCTGTGTCACCTGCTCAGGTGATCCTGTCTTGACAAGGACTTGGACTGGATCATCTCCAGAGTCTCTTCCCACCCTAACAATTCTGTGATGCTGCATGAATGAGAAGTTGTAACTCATTTCCTGCCGAAGACCCATACAAGAGCAAAAAGCCTGGAAACCATTACTTTCCCAGCAACAAACATTCTTGTCAGGCCAGACAGAAACTGCCTTTCTGAACGGCCATAAAAAGAATTTTTATTTTTTCTCCCCTTCAGAAATTGTAAACACGTCGTGGAGTTACTTCTCCACTCCAGTAAACATCTCTCGGTTTATTTCCCATGCATGTTGTGGTGCAGTCCCTTTATGAGCAGTGCAGAGTAACAACATAAGCCTCATTCCCCATCTCAGAAAATTCTGCTTCCATGTGAGTATCTTTGTGGCTTATAAATTCATGTGCATGTATCTTGCAGACAATAGGTCTCAAAAGGCAAAGATGATTTATGAGAATTCCATTTCCAAACAGCTATGTTTTAGTGCAATATTTCAATAAACATACCAAGAAAATTTCGATAAACAAATCATCCATTATTCATGTATGCAAGTAAAAAAAAAAAAAAACAAACAAAAAAACCCACAAGGTCTCTGTTTGCAAAGTCTGACAGTCACTGCAGAGGAGAAGGGTGTGCAGTGCAGTGTTATCTTCCTTGTCAGCAAAGGGAAGCGGGGACCCAGTGACTGCATCCCACACATGCAATTAACAAAGGTCTCCTCATCAAAGAGAAATGTGCACAGGATGCTTGGGAGGTTGGACAGGATGGTCATTAAGTAAATTAAGTTTCTGCAAATCCAGAAACCCAACTAGTGTAAAACAGCAGCCAGCCCCAAATTCTCCACTGTCTCTTGAGAAGACTGAATGTCATACAAAAGAAATACAATAATTAAGTGGTCCACCTCAGGCAGTACCAGTGTCTTGCAGAACCTCTGCCACTGGGGTTTCAGCCCTGTGACGCTCCAAGAGTGGATTTCTGCAAACATTATACAAGCAAGGCAAGGTTTATAGAAAGAGGTAATGCCTTTTATTAAACCATGGCTGGCAAAATGAGACAGGGTTTCAAGTACATAAAATTTCTTTCTTCAGTGGAAATAGAATTCTATTCTTCAAACAAAGCAAAAAAATTCAAGGTCAAATACAGCTTGCAGTCAATTGCTCAGAGCTGAATCAGATGCATGTCACATAATTTTGGAAGTAGAGGTCATTGTTTCCTGCAGACTAGAATAGATGTTAATAGGAAGCTAGAGGAAGATGGTAAACTCCTTGGAATATCCTTGGGGCAAAAGAAAAATAGGCAGTTTATAGCCTGTGGAACACAAAAGGGAAGGAGGAGAGGGAAGGGAAGATTGTGCAAGAGCAGCAATTCTGAGTCAGTGGGCTTTGATACAGCCCAGCAGAGCCAGACCTTTTCCTGCCTCAGGCATGTGCCCACCTGCAGCAGGAAACCAGCAGTCACTGAACAAAGACAGGTACATTCACAAGACAGTGGGGCACACCTTGCAAAGATGGCTGTACAAAAGGTCTTGCACAATCTTTGCTTTAAGGAGAGTCTGTGTGGTCCTGCACGGCCTGTGGTGATGTGGGCTGCGTGTTGGCAGAAGTCTGACTAAAGGCAGCACAAGAAGATTTGTCCTTATCTCTGTCTTTAACAGTTTTTAGAAACATTGGTGTAAGTCCATATCTCCATTGAGGCTTCCCTGATTTTTTTCTCTCCTCCTCCCACAGACTTTCAGAACTCTATGTTTCCCCACCATGTGGGAATTCCCAACTCTGAAACAAACCCAGAGCTGCCCTGGTGCCCCATCCATGTTCCCATGGAGGCCTGTGGTGACGTTGGAGACGTGGCAGAGCACGAGGCCACGAGTGCCAGCCCCAGGCTGCAGCTGGTGGCACTGGGGCAGAGCAGCCTCTGCAGAGCACCAGCTGGGCAGGGAAGGGCAGCAGCACCACAGACATCAGGGAGGCTCCACTGTTGCCACCTCAGGGGTTTGTGTGGGCAGCAGCTCCCAGGGGCAGGAGGAGAGGCTTGGCCAAGGTGAACGCGGTGACGCTGCAATAGAGCATACAAGGAGTGTGCTTTGTGGTAGTATTTATTTAGGAACCGTGAGTAACTACAGCCGTAGCGGTCTCATCTTTGCAATTCTGATGGTTTAACAAACAGGGAGAACAATAGCATATTTTTATTAAGGTACAAAATACACCCCGTTGTTGCCTAAAACATTAAAAAAAAAAAAGTGAGGAAAGCTCTGTATGCTCTAAATCAGATTCAAAACCTTTCTGTATAGGGAATTGTGGCAATACTGTGTTTAGTATAACAAGAGGTTTGTATCAATCGAAAAGACATGCTGGCAATCTGAATTTAGCAACAAAGAGTAAAGCAGTTACAAACCGTTGTGTCACCCACATTAGCTGAGCTTTGAATGTAGAAGAGCAAATCATATGAAACACATACACAACTAGGTAATATCAAACAACCTAAGGCTGATAATGTACACACCTGTATTAAAGTACACTGACTACTTAATGGTGAGGATTTAAGGTAATGTCTTTTTTTAGAAGAGGTAACCTTTGAAATGCAAATGGTTGCACTTTACACACAAAAAGTGGAAAAGAGAAAGAATCACTTTTGGAATGATACATAGATATAAGACACACTGGTTTTAGATTATGCATAATCACCTTGCAGCCTCTGATATTACCTCTGAACAAGACCAAAAACTTCAAAAGTGCCAATACCGTGAAAGGAAAGCAAAGTTACTAAGTCTGAGTGTGTTAACCATTTCTGAGAAAAAAATGGGGATTGGATTTTTTTTGTTTTTCTGCGTTTTTAAAAAACGCAACAGCCTTACCGGTGCAGGTTCAAGACAAAAACAAGACAGTCAAGCTCATAAGGTAGAAATAGGTACTATATAGGTTAAAATTCTTTGGAAATTGCTAAGAACAGAGGAGTTTGTAATCCAGGCTACTATCTTTTTGGCTACTCAAAAAATCTGTGGGAGTTTCCAGCTTATCATCAGTTGAAATCTGTTTTGCAATTGCCAAATAAATGCAAGTAAAACTTCAACTAACCTGGGATTCCATTCACAGACATGCACAGAGAAATCATTGATTGTGCAATAACCTGTTTTTTCACAGCAGCATATATATGAATCATAAGTCTTTATTAGACTGACCAGAAACAGAAAATATTCTCAGTCTTTGTGTTTTCAGTGTGTTTCTTAAGTAGGCAGCTGCAACTGCACTGAAGTGACAAGGCTCCATAAGGGAAAGGTGACAAAGTGGGATCAGCTGGCTAAAAGCAAGATCAGGAGTATCTCAGGAAACCACCTGGATGTTTAATGCTTGCCAGAAATACAATTACACTAACAGCTCACTGTCAGAGGCAGTGAAAATGTTTGAAGTTTGGTCTGTGAGACTCTGCTTAAAGCAAACAAGAAATGAACCATGCCAGCATACAAGTCACAATGCTGGCTGTGTCAAACCTTCCCTTACAGAAGATACAGCTCAGCCTATTCCTCAGGACTGGAGAGATTCACTGCATGTCTGGCCAACAATTCCTTTAAAGTCGATCTCAGGGAGCCAACTTAGCTGCAGTTTTGGCTGAGAAAAGTGATGGTAGAGAGCCATGAGCTCAGTAAATAGACTATTTTTCTTTAAGATGTTCAGAATATAATTTAGTTTCCATACATTTGATTTTAAAAGTGGTCTGGGCAACTTAATTGATGGCTTGCTTAAAGTCAATCCAATCATGCTAGCAACTTAAAAAGCCTGCTGGTTTGAAGTAATGCCCATACATAAAGCTAACAGGTATCAACTGATCATGCTGAAATAACAACCCCCCAAAGACCTACATTTCACACAAGGTGCTTTTGATAACTTGGTTTTCTGAGCCTTATAAAGAGAGTCTTTAAATATATTTTTTAGCCTTGTTTCATTCTTCCTCCTCTTCATCTTCTTCTCCTTCTCCCTCTCCTTCTTTTGCCATTGTTTCCACAAGGAGCTCTGCGGTGCACGTGGCTTCCCCAAGGCTGTTAACAGCTTTGCAGGTGTATTTGGCATCATCGTCCCCACATACTTCAGAAATAGTTAAAGAACAGTTCCCTTCCTCATCGTAATCTATCTGGAAGTGACGGGACTCCTTGACAGGCTGATCATCCTTGAACCACATCACCTCAGGGTCGGGATAGCCTGCAAGAGGGGAGAGAGAGCAGTGACTGCAAGAAACGAGCATTAACTCAGCACTAATTACCTTGCACTCTAATTCCTGTGTATGGATGTGCCAGAGTGTTGATAGACAAATATCTCATTGACTTCTATGGAAAATAAAAACAGATGATGTGAGTCTTTTTTACGTCACATTTAACTATAACTATTTTTTATGAATAGCAAAAACTGCACGCAAGCACTGCAGTAGTGGCTGGATTCCTCCTTCCAGTCCCTTAGCAGTGCCTGCAGAGAGCTTTTTGTGTGCTGTAGCCATCAGCCAGCAGGGAACTCCTGACAGTGCATCTGAGGCTCACGTTACACTGCAGCTTCTCCTGAGACAACAGTTCCCAACAACGAGATTTTCAAGGGTAAACTGTTTTCGGCTTACAATTTAATACCTTTCTCAGGTATTTTGCTGTGGTTATTCTGAATCTTCCTCCTAATCTGCTCCTTAAAAGTCAGCCTTTCCTGTACATTTCACTCCCCTTTTCTGTATTTGTTAGGGTAAATGAGGAAGTCTAAGAAAAGCATTTTGATTGTGCATCTCAACAGGAGTTTCAGAGCCTTTTGTGAAGGAAACGGCTCTGCTAAGCCTCAGAGCAGCGCTGTACAATGCCTGCTGCAGAACAATCCCTTATACAGTACTCTTGGCTGCCGTAACAAATTGAAGGTTTGTGGTTTCAGCCAAGTTCTGGACTGGGAGGGGAGGACAACTCCCCACTGGGCAGAAATAAAGTGCAGGAATCGCTAATACACAGTGAACATTACAGCAATAGACTGCAAAGATTGGAACATCAGCCGTGGTACATCCATCTGTTTTATTCCATGCAGTACTTGTGCAGTACCCCCTACGCTGAGCATCCATCAGCAATAATAATCCATCCTCACATCTCCACTGTGAGATAGGAAACCCAGGCAGGCAAAGATTGGGAGCATAGAAACAAGCAGAAGGTCGATGAGGCATTCTCTGATTTCCTCATTTTAAGATTATAAATTAACTTGTACACATGCAGGATGGTATTGACCCTACCCATTTTGTTTTCACAGCTCTTCTTTCCAAATTTCACAGCTGAGATACACAAGGTTCAATCTCATTGCAGGAGAAGTGCCAGAGGTCTTGGCCTTTAGACTCTTGGGCTGACCATGCCCACGCTCCTTATATGTCTTCTCATAAACTTATATTTTGCATATTCCAGTCTGAGGTTTCTTTCCTGAACTCATAAATTAAAAAACCCCAAACAACAGAACAGTATTTTCTAGATGTGACTTATGTGACCAGCACGAGAATATTATCTTTACTTCTCATGCATATACAATTAG